GCCAGCCCTCAGTGAAGAACTACAATGTTGATCCAGCCCTCGAAGAAATTCCGTTTGACATCTCTGGCATAGCCAGAAAGTATCAGTAACCTGTATTTGGCACTGGCAAATTGGGCTATTTGTGCCTCAAGATTCTTAAACCTAGCAGTGGGATCCTGGGCTTTGTAGTCCCAACTGAGCCAGTGTTGGGATAAGGACAGAAAGGCCTTTCTTACGAAAGAACTCTACAACTTTTACCAGCATCCAAAACTGGTGCAGTCTTACTGTATCTCTGGATGTGGCTGCTGTTTGTACGTCTTCCATTTAAAGGGTTTCCTAGGACGGACACCCCAAAATATTCAACTAGGCAAATGGGAGATATTTAAATACAGGGAGTCCTTGTTTAGTGACCACAACTGCGGCTTGCAATTTGTTATGTGAAGCACTCACTAAGTGAAACAGTGACCGTGCTTTCCTGTTCACAGGCCAATGAAGGTCATAAAAATAAGGATTGGAAAGTTTTTTTTTTTTCATCCCTGTGGGAAGCGTGAATGTTCACTAAATGAGGCAGTCGCTAAGCAAAGACTATATGTTAAAATCTCATGCATTTGTCAGGTCATTCATTCAGACCCTAGCTTCTAGGAACATTTTTTTCCCCAAACAAAAACAAACGTTTTCAAACATGGATTATTAGACAAAGTTTCACTGCCTGGCAACCTGCTAGTAAAACAGAAGAAAAAGGGAGTTGCAATTCTCTTCTGTCATAATTATGTCAGCCACTCTAAGCACACTTAAAATTTGAAAAAGCCACTTTGGATACAGCAATGAATTTCCACTAGATAGAAAGCCCTGCTTACTGGAGCCCATGACAGATTCGGTATAGCACCTAAATGCAGAACGATTGAGAGCGTCCGTTCTGCTGGATTTATTCTTGGCAGATTGTTAAGCTACAAGTCAAGATGAAAACAGACCCCAAACTATGTAAAAACACAATTGGAACCCTTTAGGCTGGGTTCACACAACAGCTGCAACCAATTACTGAAGAAGCCCCTCTGGATTTGCAAGCTACATTTAAGCCCCCCCACCCAAAACCAAACCCTCCCATACCACAATTGAAGCATGTGGGATAAATACAATTGCTCCATCTTCATCAAGATTGTGCTGTGTGAATGCTGCTGCTAGGAGGTTTTGTCTTGACAACTGAAACTAAATACACACATGTGGAGACCCTAACAGGTTTTTTTTAAGCAGAATGAATGCAATGCTCAACACTTGCTTATGGCAAGAGGTGGCTGGTTGATCCCCAAAGATGGGGAATTAAATTGTCACCCATCTCAAAACAGATAAAATCGCTTTCCTGACTCTTAACCAGATCTCTACCTAGATCAGAGATGATTCTTTTCAGCACTGAGCACATGTATGTGCATGCAGGTGTGCTTGCACGCACCCAGCTGCTCTTCCAGATTCTGTTGCCAGCCAGCTGGTCTATCCCAGTGGTGGGATTTAAATAATTTAAGAACCGGTTCTCTGCCCTAATGATTTCTTCCAACAACCAGTTCACCAAATTGCTCAGAAAGTTAACAACCTGTTCTCCCGAAGTGGTGCGAACTGCCTGAATCCCACCACTGGTCTACGGCATGCAATGGAAGGGAGCAGCTGGCTGGTGGGCATGCGCATGACGGAACCCAGAAGAGCAGCTGGCAACAGCGTGCATGCCCATAGAGGCCTCCGAGTGCCACCTCTGGCACGCGTGCCATAGTGGTTTGGTATAGGCTTAGCTATCCCAAACCACTAGCAGCAGACGATCGGTTAAAATAGGTGTTAGCTCTTGGTGGTTTTCATTTTGATTAGAAAAAATCCCATCCGAAATCTCAAGCAATTAATGTCAGAATAACACTGGCTAAGCAGGCAAAAGAAGCTTGGTCAAGCATGAAAATTAAGTTTTTCTCTCTCCCTTTTCTACCAAAAACAGCCAATTCACAGAGCAATTTCCCTCCTAGGCAAACCTTTGTGGGAAATGTGCACGTATCACAGCCTCCTCAGTTGTTTGTTTATGCTACGGCATCGTTTATTTAATCACTGTTTACTGAATTAACCAAATCACTTTGATCCACCCAAGTGTACTTCAGATAAAGTTCTCCAGCTGGGTTGGTGCAACCAGCTAACCATATTTTGCTTGATAAAATCCAGCCGTTTGCTCCTTTGCATGCTTTTCTGAACACTTCAATTCCCTGAACATCTAACTAGAAATAAAACGTGCAAGTAAAGAAAAAATCCCTAAAGATTATCCTTAAGGTCCCTTCAAGATTTGGAGGGTCCAACATTTTACGACCGTCACACAAACCTACCATGTTGGCTTCCATTTTTGTACCGCTTAAAAGGTGGAATAAAACTAAGGAGCAAGGAGCTAAGGATGAATTATGCATTTCAAAAGAGAGAATTCCAAATTGCTCCCTGCTCTTCAG